CTACCATGAGGGCTGTGGTTTTGCGTAAGGGCCATGCACATTTTATCACTCGGTCCCCTCGGTCTGACCAATCCCCAAGAAGTCCAGTCCTGAACCTTGACTGCCCAGTCAGTCTGAAATCTGTCATAGGACTAGACCGATTTTCGACTATACTACCCGGTCCAGTCCAGTCCATCGCCCACCATTCGGAACCCTGAGCATGCTGCCCGCTTTTCATTTTTGCTGAGTCTTCTTTGTAGCTTCAATGAATGGGTACCAAGTACACTTCAGGATTTCTTGTGCTGTGGGACATCCAGTACTTCTGGGCACAATATATACATTGCCAGTACCTATTTCATTTCATATAACCTTCTAGATTTAGCTATCTAAGCAGATTACTGCATGGGTGTAGACCAATTCAACATAATCAAAGATAACCAACTTTCCGTAAGCTGAATCTATCATTCCCCATACTGAGGATAAGGGGGGAGGATCTTTGAGTTTCCTGCTTGTACTGGAATTGGGTGAAAATAATAGCTCTGAGCTTAACTGGCTTTCTTCGACGAATTCTGAGGAAGTGACTTCTACTTCTTCCATGTCGCATGGCAAAGATTCTTAGTGTGGACTACACGTTAGTTGACTAACCGGAGGGCATCAAACCTCGCTGCTCATATTAGAAAAACAGCTCCTTGATTTGTGTTTTGCATACATAAAGGCTTAAAGGTGAAGTGGGGGGGTGGTATATGGGGAGGAACACAAAAGGTCAGCAGAGTAGATGGCAGAAAGAGCTGACCTTGTGTGCTCTCATTGAAGGAATATATTTCTCATCTTTGAATAACTCAGAATGCAAGAGAGCTAATCACATTTTCCGATTAGCGTTTCACTATGTACTCTCAATTGTAATGCGTTAATGCTGGGACCTTTCACGTCAATGTCAATAGTCACGGTCACCGTCTTCTGGAATTCAGCTTGTTCAGATTCCAGTATCCGTATTGTTCAAGACTTAAAGTATCATAAACGTCAGATATGAGAGGTAAAATAGGTTCACGGTGTAACTCAAGCTCGACCCCTCTGAAACCGTCTAAGCCCGGGCTTCTGCTAGGTTGAGCCCAATCTAGCATCCACAGCCCTGCCCAGCGGAGGCTCCCGCCAGCCCAACGAAGCCGCGACACATTACAAGTCTTGGAGATTACACGGGAATAACAAAGCATGTCCTCATTAAAGCTGGAGAGGAGAAAAGGCACGTTAAAGAGAAAGAGAAATCAAAAAATAAGTCCTCTCATTCGACAAATACTGGCTGTTCCCGCACTGACCGTGGTCACTGTTCCTTCTCCGTGTTAAGTGTGGAGAAGAGCCAGCCTCCAAATGTTTGTGGTTTCTTTCTACTTAGGAGAGGCTCCCTTTAACGGAATTGCTTTTGGTCCATCATAGTTTATCGGATGGCCTATGGTTGTTATGATATATCGGGAAGAATCGATGGGTTTGTCCCCTCCAGCTACATTTTTCACAATTACTTTGTCATTTGTTTATTCCTCGCTCACCTCGATTATTCCAACAAAGACAAGAGGATTCTGGAGAAATACTCCGCAGCCTCATTGGCCAGCTTCTCCTACCATTCCTTCTACCACTGCATCACCTTTTGTTGGATCACCTTCTCGTTGTTAATTCTCTTCTTGGTTCCCCTAGCCATGAAATTCGCAACACCAGCGGAAGTCTTCGCCTTCTCAGGGAGCTTCTTGCAATAGTCGGATGAAGACAGACGATTGCGCTCAATGGGGGTTCCGCTTCCTCCTGCACGGCTGCTTGCATAGCTGCATGAGCAGCTTCGATCTCCTCCTTGTCGAGCAGGCTGCACCTAGGGTAATACTTCAGGTGGTGGCCAAGTGATTGAATAGGGTTCCAGCCGGTGAATGTCTGGCCGCAGCCCTGAACTGGACCCTTGAGAGTAGTGGGCGCAGGAGAGGCTGAGCCAAACTTCTCTGAAGGGCCAGGGTTGATGGCACGAGATCTCGGTTTTGGGGTATGCGGTTTACTGGCGGTGGTTGCAGTGGCCGACGGGATGGGGGAAGCGGAGGAAGATCTATGCGCAGACGCTGATGTCGACGCCACTGTAAAAGACCTGGTGGTGGCAAACCTTTGGTGACCTAGCTATAGGTTCTGGGGACTCTGGTGGCTTGTATTCTGATACAGAGGAAGACAATTGATAGCTGGCGTCTTGCATGTCGTGGGTGGGAGGAGTCGAAGACCTCCTTGACTGCAGCTTAGCCCCCTCTTCCTGGTCGGCCCCCATGTCGTCCCAACTCACTCTTTTTTCGAGGTGTGGACATGTGGTAGTGGTAGTGGTAGTGGTAGTGGTAGTGGTAGTGGTAGTGGTAGTGGTAGTGGTAGTGGTAGTTGTTGTGGTAGTGGTTATAGAAGCAGTCATGTTGATGAGAGCGATGTGGGTGACTGGAGCAATAGGTGCAACAGGTGCGAAGGTTGCATCGGGTGTGATGGGTGTGACTGAGGTCATTCGAGCTCTTGGCACCTGTTCCTTGGCCTGGAGAGCCATTCCTGTGGGTTTGTTAAAGACAGTCTGTTCAGTGGGTGAAGGATGGAGATTGTAGGTATGGTCGCGTTTCGGAGCTGAACCGGTGGTAGTGACAAAGGGAAGATACATCATGGTTAGTGTCAATTGGTAGGGGCGGATGGGGTGCCGGGTAACCTCAACCACCAGACAACAGGTCTCAAGTGAGTGGCATAGCCACACATGCAAGTTAATGTACTTGCCAGTACATGACCAAGTGATTGCGCGGCCTCCTGCTCATTGATACGTGATTACATGTCGCATCCTACGTAGCGCAACAAGGCTTTTCCAATGCCGAATGCCGTTAAACCCCATCACAACTGCGCGACCTGATCCTTGGATTTGGACACACTCTGCGACTTTGCGTGGAACGCTGAGGTCGCCGGTCTCGCTGGTCACCAGGATGCCACCCCCCCAGCACATGGTCCAGAGGCCTTGCAGACTGTCTTGTTATTTTGATCCTTAGACCAATGTTCCGATCCAAACGTGTTCGTACCGGTTTGACCCCCCCGTTGATATTCCCATCTGCGTATGATACATGCCCATGTGATCGCCTCCGTGGATATCTAGTGGACGTGTCATGAAAGTGTATATCGGTATATATTTGTGCATCAGATGCTTCTCGATTCAGGCCTCCCTGGACCTCAAAGGAAAAGCCAATTCCCATGGCATATTCATCCGCCCACCTCCCTATCCGCCCACCTCCCTATCCGCCTATGTCCTGTTGTGTTATTGGGTTAAATGGGGATCTTGGCGAGAAGCTATCACCACAGGTTACTGTAACACCAGGATTATAAACACTTGCTAACCCCTAAAAAAGAAAATTCACTCCGGCCAGGATAGTAAAACTGGATTGAACCTATAGGTTGCATCGCGCCCCTTGGCATATTTGATCAACCCCGGTCCATAGATACTCACAGGTACCCTCGCGTCCATATCAATCCTCGATATACTTGCTTGGCGAAAGTTCGTATTTGGATATTCCTCCTTCGCGCCAGAACCCGCTCCCACTGCTTTCCCATCGTGATTCTCCCCGATGTTGACAATTCTTTATTATTATAGTCCTGTATTCACTGTCTCTTGGGCGATAAATTAACTCCCTTCGTTCTCAAACCTCCCGCGCAAATGTGCTTGCTTGATAGGTGAGGGTCTGGGATTATCTACCTTGATGATATTACACTGCACTTTATCTTGATTCCTACTAGGTTACCGTACTAAATTTACTACCCAACAGTGTTCCTTTCTTCTCCACTTGTTGCATCATCGAGAACGCAGGTCTTGGGTGCGGGTCCTTTCATGAGTCCTCGCCCCATGTCCTCCTTTTGCCTGCGCTTTTCTCGCCACTGATCACCCATGTGCGTAGTGTCACCATTACCGTCACACTAAAATATATCTCTAGGAACTCCTACCTTATGCGATGCCGCTCCAACTGATTTATATTATGGAACTTTTCCCACCGACACAACTCGCCGCTTCATAGACCAATTAACAAACACTCTCGCTGGCTACATCGGTACACACCTACAACCTAACCTAGATATCAGCTTTCTCCCTCCTGCCACTTGCTTTCTCCCCATCTGAATCTTTACGCTTCAGTGATGTGTCAGGAGGGTGGAGGTCCGGGACGGCCGTGTATATAACCGCTGGTCATCGTGAGGGGCGCACAGTTTGTGAGATAATACTGCACTCAGTTCGGGGATTAACGGCTCTCATGCTGCCGGCGGTGGGGAGTTGCTGTTGGAATTGATATATGATTTGTCGGATATATACAGTTACTTGGGATGTCGGCTGCCAACTGTTCGAATAACCGATCGCTGAAAAAGCACAGATGCTAACTCGCTGTAACTCAGACCGCCCACGTTGCAAATTTGAAGACAAAGCGGCAATAGAAGCATTCAGCTCCATGGGTCGAAAGAATGCCTTTCCAGACCAGGTTTCGTGCAGGTCTACGGATTTGTATGTAAGAAAGGCTTTACAAACTTCGAAGTCCTTGAACTAGCAAAACCTGCATAATCGGTTTTCAATCCCGGGGGTAAATGCCTCTAATACAGGTACTTGAGTATGAAGACCAGTGTAACAGTAGAAAATGTGTTACCCAACCCGCTGGCCAAGGCAAATAGGCTCCCCAATTGCGCAAACGCTCATAGATATCATAATACGACATGTAGACACCTAGGAAGAGCTTATTCCGGGCTGGGTGATGATATCAAATAACCAAACTATGGAAGCAAAAAAAGAGATTTTATCCATAGCGGTAAGTTATCAATGAGCTCCAATCGGACGTCACTCCATTACCTCACAAACCAACCTGCATCTGCTTTTTAATCGTCAAGAACATGAACTCGGGGACAATGTGATTCTCCCCTTCACCCTCTCCAGGAAGCGGTATAGGACGATAATTCTGAAGCGGACTACTCTTGTGCACCCTTCCATTAGCCACAACGACATCCAGCCTCTAGTGGCCCTGCAAAATGGAGATATCCTCCAGCGCATTCCCATTGACCTGAATGCAGTCTGCGTAATCGCCTGGCTGGATCTTGCCAGGTTAGCGCTCGCGCATGAAGAGCTTGCGTGCTGAAGCTGTCGCAGGTAGAATTGATTCCACCGGCATGAAACCCAGGTGCTTGGCAAAGTGCGCGAGGTCGCAGGCGTATGTGCCGTGAGGGGTCCAGGCACAGCCATAGTCCCTAGGTTATGAGCGTTAGTAAAACGTGGAGCGGATAGGCGGGGCCGACGATAGGCGGTAATGGGGAACGGGGGGTATGAGAGAAGATTGTAATACCCTCGCGGCAGAATGGTGATGCCCCTACGGTGCATTCCTTTCAGCCCTTTGATAGCGGCCTCCAGTTCGCTTCCGTAGCCAGTTTCTTCGGCTGCTGCTTGGGGATAACCGAATGCCGCTCCTTTGTAGACTTCTAGTTGCTAGTGTTTGATTTCCTTGAACGTATGGGATTAGTCGTACGGGTAGCAAACAACCAGTGCAGCGCTGGTTCAACAACGACCCTACCCTTATCTTTCTCTAGAAGGTCCATTCATTCATCGTCGATGTAAATTGAATGAAATATGACGTCCACGGCAGGCAGGATGCTCAACCTAACAGACTCCCTCGCACGCGTATGCATACAGACACGCTTTCCATGAATGTGTGCTTCATCACCTGCAGCTGTCATGTCTTCTGTAGACAAATAACGCTCTGTTGCGACTCTGATTTCCCTAACCTAGTTCCGTTCCATTACTACTATAATCTGCTAGAAAAGGCCTAGGATGAGTAGAACTATCGACTCAACAGCGATACTCAACTCCATCTGATCGTACAGGAGAGCGGCACAGCATTCAGGAATACAACAATATAAAAATACATACAGAGCGCATTACGCGGAGCGAAGTGCGTGTGTGCGGTGGAACGCGGGGTGATGAAATGGTCTACCGTGAGGGACCTAGGTACTCGGGTAGTGGGAGCAAGCGGACATTGATGCGGACCAAAGTAAAAGTATGTTAATATGCCAATTACAGTATTAAAACAGGTTAATCTCTTTAAAAACCGCTGTTACCTGACTACGCAAAGGGGTTTCACAGATTTTAACACGTCCACGACATTCCCATAATCCAGCCATAGTGTGACATACTCTAAAGCCCTAATACCTCCACGAAAACTTAAAATATCCTTATTTTCTGTTTATCACTGTGTACGGAATCACCTACTATATCATATAATAGAGCCATCATTCTCATCGTAGTGATTACTGGAAACCCTTTGAGGATTAGAGTTGCGCTAAACCTTCCTGGCAAAGTGCTCCGGCCACAGACGTCCCTCACCATAGGTTCGTCGATCGCTGCGACAAAGACAAATCTTCAAGCTTTGGGTTCCTGGCCCTGCGAGGTTTCATGCACCCCGCTGGAGATTACGGTCTAGGTTAACTTACGGCACTCAGGTAGTTTACATGAAGAAAGAAGGTGGTGATTAAAGCCGTGGGAGATTGGTGGGAGAAACCCCGCAATTTCTAACATCTACCAGTAACTTAGGAGAGGCGATATAATAGCCTTCTATAGTTTCGATAATGATAGCGAGACCGATAATGACACGAGGCCTTCTAGGCTCCCGACCGTGACCGCTCGCAAACTACGGGAAACTCTAGGCGACCTAGTGAGAATTCATTGTAAAAGGCGGCTGTGGAGGGATGGAAGGGAGGTGAGAAGAGGATCCGAACCTGAACTATGAGTTAAATAGAGATAGAGAAAGGCTGTTTAGTTTACTTGTGTCGTCTCGATTCAACTTCTACTACCGGTATACTGCCACTTCTACACTCGAGGCACCGTACCATATGGTACAATGCAAACCCTTTGTGTGTGTTGCGTCAGCATTCCGTATCTGGTTAGTTATGTGTTTGGACCGATCACTATGAAGTAACTATGAGTGATGGTCTGTGTTGGTGGAAATGAGGTCACGCTGTACACAAGTATTGGGTTGCGGGAGTGAGCTTGATAAGTATATGTGGAGGAGCTTATCTCCACTTTGTAGCAAATAAAGTCAAGAAATCTCAACAGGTTACGAGCCAGGGATATGCGCTGCGGAAGGTATTGTCTCTCTCACAAACACGGAAACGAGCGATACACTACTTCTCCTTCTGAAAGAATATGATAGAATCCAAACCATCCCTAGACGCAATCAAAGGTCAAACTGATGGTATCTACTACACGAAGTATGGCAAGACAGCAAGGTTGAACAAGTGGAACTGCTGCCAATGGGTACGCAGTATACAGATATTGCTCCGTGGAGAGAATTCACAGGCAATCACTCTTGGTGAAGAACTCAAGCGCCCGGTCCCACAAGTTCAATGATATTCAGACTGGATAATATGTGAAGGAAAAGCATTAGCCATCATCTACAACTCTTGTTCAGCTATTACTCAAGAACATGCTGAGGATGTCCAAAGTGCAAGAGCCATGTGGGATATGTTAAAGGAGATATTTGACGGTAGCAACTGACGGGCTGGTCAGTTGGAAGTTAGGAGAAGCTTCAATCTCTCACGTGTCCACCCTGGACACACAATTCAATACTATATCACCTTACCTTTAAGGTACTGAAACCATGACCTTTGTCTGGTGATACAATAATCTCTAGATAAAGATAGTAGAAAAGAGGAAAACAAGGACAAAGAGAGAAACAAAAATAATATCACGATGAGAAAAGAAATGGTATCAATGTGGGCAGTTGCCGCTCACACAATAGGTATCGTTTATCAATTCAATAATGATGACAATGGAAACAAACATGATGATAAAGCAAGAAAAAAACTATCAATCACGCATAAGAGAGCGGAGTAGTCTATGGACATTGTTGTTCCCGGCTCCATTACCTTTCCTTCCCATCCCCCTATCCCTACAATCCAAGCTAGTCATTAGTAATCCCTTTCCACCTTGCAATGTAGCTAACTAGTTCCAGCCCCAATTCAGTACGGTCAATAAAAGAAAACTAAACCAATGAAGGCTATGCCAGTTTATCAGCCCAAAGTACTGTAAGACATTGGCTGAAACAAGTAACGCCATTACTGATGAAGCCTTTCAAGCACATCTTCTATCCAGCTTACCAGAGTACTACGACCACTACGTAATCTAGGCATGCCGTAGCGATTTACAGCCTGAGGCTG